CACAATCTATGACCATCTCTTGTATTATGTCCACAATCTCTGACCATCTCCTGTATTATGTCCACAGTCTCTGACCATCTCCTGTATTATGTCCACAGTCTCTGATCATCTCTTGTATCATGCCCCTAGTCTTTGACAATATTATGTTATGTGGCTGTGGTCTCTCATAATGAACATTGACTGAATTTTACGCATGGCCCTTGGGTGATGTCAAGGGCACATATGAAGAACGTTGAGCACCACTATGCTAGTCTATGTCTTGAACATTTGACCTGTTTGGAAAGACGCACTCCTAACAAGATCAAATGATTATCAGAACAGTTTTGCTGCCATCTAGTGGTACAAAAGCAATTAACACATTTGCTGTACTTACTCATTTATTGGCAAATGTTTTCTTTTCAGCTCATTTTCTTGCCTTTTAGGTTTGCCTTCTGTACCCATCTTAACAAGTGCATTAGGCAAAGTGTCTCTCAAGTCTATGCAAACTGTAGGGGAATGTTCAGAATGCCATACGCTTGTAACCCTCTTGGGAAGAGATAGTCTGGAATGAAAGAACAACTTATTAAAGTGTATGTCAGGGCAAAATAAAAATACACAGTACTGCAATACATGGACAATTTTTTTGTTTGCTTTTTTAAAAACACTGAAAATACTTGTGATCCTTCCAGAAATCCAGCGAGCTCCTAACTTCCTTTTATTGACCCACAACATTGCCCCCGCTGTACTGAAATTCTAAACAGACCCGTCAGCCATGACTGAGCTCTCCCCTGCTGGACTACATTACCCCGTCCTTCTCTGTCTCAAAGCATATATTGATTTCTTTCTTGGCAAGCAAAACCATACTGTTGCCTTGACTCCCAAGAGTTTGCCCACACATTCTTTGTAGAGAACGTGCTCTTGGGAGCAGTAGTTCTGGAGTAGGGCATGCCTTCCTCTATGGGAACTGACCCAGGGCATCATGTTGAACCCTCCTCACAAAAGCTGCCCCTTGCAAGACTTTTGAAAGCCTGGTGAGGACGCCACAAGGAGTAATAAAAGCAGTTTCATGCTTTAGGTACAAAGTATAAAAATAATGCTGGAACATACTCTAAAGGAGGGAAAGGAGATTTAGGAGTACAGTTGGATCATGTCTAGAGATCATCTTTAATATTTTCAAAGCATATAGATAAAAATAAATCTAAACCTTAAATTGGGGAAATTTAGTTCATTAAAGCACTATGTATCATAACCAGGGCCATGGATAAGGGGTACCACCAGTGCTCCTGTATGGGGCCCAGGCCAGCTGGGTGAATCAAATGTGGGCAGGGAGGGTAATCGGCATGGCGGGGGGGGGGGGGGTTACTGGAATCTATCCCCTGTATGGCTCTCTCTGCAGCAGCTAAAAGCCAGCTTCTTATCTGTTCCCTACTGCTGGATTTCAGCTGTTGCAGAGAGAGCCATATAGGGGATAGGTTCCAGTACTTGCCCCCCACACCCATCACCAGCACTGTGCACCATATGTTTCCCCCTGCTGCCCAGGCCCCCCTGTATGCCTCAACCCCCACAGTGCTGCTGGCTTTCCTCTTCTCCTTTCCACCTGCAAGCGCAGAATAGGATCCTTAAGGATGGAGCGTGGGGGAAGGTTCTGGTAAATATGTCACATTTACCAGCCCCTTCCTTTCCTGAATGAACACAATGAGTGATCAGTACCTAGCACACTCTGTGTCTATTCATAACTGAAGCATAGTAAACTGTGTTTTTTTTTCCTTGGAGGGGGGGGGGGGGGGCTTCTAACATCGTAACCAGCTACCATGTTTCCACTTTCTTCATTCTTTTCTGTGTCTCGGTGCTTCAGATCTCCTCCAGATTATTTGAACCACTTCCTGTCTACATGCACTTGCTCCTAAATTGGCGGCAAATCATTGCTCTAGACTGGCTTCCTGATAGTGCCAACAATGAACCATGCTTGTGCAATATATGTTGGAACAACCACTTTCAGTCCCTACTATGACCACAAAATAAAGGGTAACGAATAGCACAGTTGGGAGACAGTTGTCACTCCATTACAAGAAATGCCTGAACAAAGACCTTAATGTCTGGATTACCAGGTTTTTTTTTTCAATCAAAGTTGCATATTTAATAAAACTTAAAATCACTTTTAAAATTACCTTTTTTTGATCTTCCACCAGATATGTAGGAGCACATTGATTCTAGTTTAATACTTTACTACTAGCATTTATATATGTAACTCCCTGCACAGCAATGGGGATAGTAATGCTCCCCGTTACAGCATTGGGGCAGTCAGCACTGTCACACTCCATAGCCCTGTATAATCTTAGACTCCAGTGATTCTAGATTACACAAGATTTTTATTTTCCAATGGTTTTAATTGAAAAGTTTTTAAAATACAAATAACATCAAAGACAAATGCCATGATATATCACAGAAATAAGAATCAATACTTGTAGCCACATGAAGCGCCTTAAATACGCGTTAAGAAAAACATGACATATGTTGTAGAACCAATACAAATGGGCTCACCCAACCTCGTTACACGGAGGAGTGAGAAAAGACCTAATAAAATAAGAAAGAAAGAGAAATAAGAAAAGAGAAAGCAGAAGAAGCAAATGAAAAAGAAGAAGAGGGTCACCGCGGGAAGGATCAAGGTACAGAGATGTATTGAATCCATGGGTCCCACGTTTTGTCAAATTTAGTGGTATTGTTGTTACAGAAGATTTTTATACATTTTCAGGGGCTAAAAAAGGGCAGAGGAATGAAAGGAAGGGTAAATATATGCTGTTGAAGAAGATTCAGTCAAATGAACCCGAACCTGTTATTTGCCATGCATAGCCAGGGTACAGTTTAACTTTAACCTCCTTAGCGCTAATCCCGAGTGTAGCTCGGGGTATAATTTCAATACCAAGAGCGGTAACCCCGAGCTACAATCGGGCTTACCATGCGGCGCTGCTCTGGGGGTCCCTGCAGCACTTACCTTGTCCTTCGCTCCCGCGATGTGTCCCCTGCAGCATCCCCGGCCATCTCCTCTGGCCGATGCCGGCATCCAGCTTCCGTGTTCCGGTCCCTGTGGACGTCGGGACGTACGGGCGCCGGAACCGGCGGGAAATTTGAAATTTAAAAAAAATTTCATTTTTGCTGTCATTGCTGTTTCAATGCATTTCACATATATTTTGTCCCTACTGCTTTGTCCTGTGCCCTGCCTGCATTTTGACTGTTCTTTCTGCCTGGAAACTTAGAAAAGTCCATGGCGTCCAAAAAGCGTCCCTTTACGTCAAAAGCAGTTTTAGAACAGCTAGAGAACAGCGATAGTAAACCAGAACCACTTGCAGAATTGAGTGATAATGATTCGTGGGGGAAATTCGTCATCAGACACTGAAAACAATTTTGCGACTTTGCTCAGCAATATGCGAATTTGCCTCTGTATTTCAAATTTCAGTGTTTTTGGTTTGATTATATTATTGAATTAAATTTATTATTATTATATTATTATTTTTGATTATTATTTATTAAATCATAATTTATGATTTCGTGTTTCAAATTTTATCCTACTCGGGATGTTTAATAGACTCTTGTTCGTACAGATTTCAGTGAGTTATTCCTAAAAATTACAGCTTAGAATAAAAAACTACATATTTCCATGCAAAAAAATGGTACCGCTTTCAGCACCAAAAAATCGGAAAGAATCATACTGCCAAGAAGGTTAATCCTGTATGTTATAGAGCAGGATTATAACTACAACTTCCGATGCTTGAGGAGGACTTTGTCTTCACAGGAATATCAGAAACCTTCTTTTGACAGCTCACATTACTGGCTTGCAACTATCCAAGGGTTAAGGAGGAGCCCTGCACGCCGTGACGTCACGCCGCCGGATCACGGAGGTCCGGCGGCCATTTATTCACCAGCTGGTCAGTTCTAATTCATGTTACTATCTTCTAATTGCTTCATCTTTTGCACTGCAACAAGTGTATGTTTTTGGATTTTAGTTTTTAATAATTTGTACCAGTAAAGTATCATTTAAAATACTACACCATGGGAATACCCCTTTTCTTTGCTCTGCACCGAGCACTTTAATTCCCCAGCGATCCCCGGTGACTACCCCAGTGCTTGGAAGAGATTGATCCATATATCCTGGCTTGCCACTATCCTATAACCCAAAGGAAGGCCACCCACTCCCAGGCTAAACCCCGGACCACCTTAAGAAGGGATCCTTGACCGACCACCATTATACCATACAACGCACTTGATATATGCGCATCTGGTGAGTGCGCATTTTATCTATTTTATCAGCATACCCACCTGAGGATTTTCTTATATACTGGGATTAAATACAGTAACCTGGCGATCACTTTGAAGAAATTTTATTGAGATTCTATTGACATTTTTATCATCTAAACGCATTTTACATGCATGTGCATTTTTACTAAGAACTATACATTTTACGTGTTTATGAGTATGTCTTATGGTCCATACGCATCTAATACCTCGGTGCGTGTTTTCATAAGATTTTATCTGGCATATCATTCATTAGCACTGCACTACTTTTATAGATATCCAAGGGTGCTCACTGCATAAGAGGGACATGGTAAGTATAAGAGGGGGAGGAGCAAGTCTATATTTCAAGAGTGATTTGATAGTGAATATGAGAGATGACAGTGTTAACGGGGCTAGAGACGAGCTTGAATCTTTGTGGCTGGAGCTTCAAAGGGATGAAACAAATGGTAAATTATTTGTGGGTGTATGCTATAGTCCCCCTAACCCTAAGGATGAGATGGAGACTCATCTCCTTTCACAGTTAGAAATGGTGGGGAAACAAGGCAATGTCATAAATATGAGGGACTTCAACTATCCTGATATTGATTGGGCAGGTGGAACTATGCACTGACCTAAAGCTGGCCATAGATGAGTTTTTTTCCCCCCCAAAAAGTGCCAATAAGTAAAGAAGATGGGAGAAGGAGGCCTTAAAGAGGAACTTCCCCTTTTGGGTGGAGCTCCACTTTAAGATTTGTCCTTTCTTGAACGTATTGCAGGACAATTTCATGAGTCAAATAGTGGAAGTCCCAGCTACAAACAACACAAAGCTGATCACAGAGTAATTAATTACATTTACTCTCTGGTCATCTCCTGTACTGTGTACTGTGTCCGCAGTCTCTGGTCATCTCCTGTACTGTGTCCGCAGACTCTGGTCATCCCCTGTACTGTGTCCGTAGTCTCTGGTCATCCCCTGTACTGTGTCCGCAGTCTCTGGTCATCCCCTGTACTGTGTCCGCAGTCTCTGGTCATCCCCTGTACTGTGTCCGCAGTCTCTGGTCATCCCCTGTACTGTGTCCGCAGTCTCTGGTCATCTCCTGTACTATGTCTGTCCTCAGTCTCTGGTCATCTCTCTGGTCATCTCCTGTACTATGTCTGCAGTCTCTGGTCATCTCTGCAGTCTCAGTCTCTGGTCATCTCCTGTAGTACATCAGCAGTCTCTGGTCATTTCCTGTACTATGTCTGATAGAAGATAGTTGAACACATTGGGGTAGGGCGTTCCAGAGGATGGGAGAGGTTCTGGAGAAGTCCTGGAGGCAATCATGGGAGGAGGTGACAAAGGAACTAGAGAGCAGGAGGTCTTGGAAGGAAGATATATTCAAAAAACTTTTACGTGTGTCTTAGCAAGCCTATTGTACATGTATATTGAAAATGGTAGCAACATACACACAAACACGCACACAGGTTGAACTGGATGGACCAGTGTCTTTCTTTCAACCTTACCAACTAGGATAGACAACCTCGTCACTCCAAATGTGGTGAAACTACAAATCTTATGAGGATTTCTAAGACCAACAGCCACAGGCATTACTCGTAGATGAAGAGGCATGATGGGATTTGTAGTTTGACCACAGCTGATGTACTGATGTTGCCTAACCCTATTCTATAGTTATTGCCTCACATAATCATTCACAGCGCACCCTGGATTTATTCATTTCTACCCTCACATATACCTGTCAAAAGGCCGAATGCTAACAGCCTTCTTCTGCTCCTGAGAACTCTGCAGGGCAGGAGACCGAGCCTGTAATTGTCTGACATTTAATTCCACCAGCTGCTCCATTATCCGATCTTGCCGTTTCTTTTTATACTGCTCTCAAATGAAAGCAGAGAGGGGGGTAACTCTTCGACTACTACTACAAAAAAAAAAGAAAAAATTTAATTAATTCTACTTCATTGCTGTTCACTGAAGAATGTTCACTGAAATGTGATGTTTTCCCTTCTTGTCATATAATAAATGGATTTACAGGTATAATTACTTGGAGAAAGGGGGGGGGGGTTGGTGGGGGGGGTTGAGTGATATAAAAGGTAATAGCTGTGGGGGGGTGAGCTGATGGAGAAAATAAATGGCGGTTTACATGGTAGAAACAGGATAGGCTTCTTTAAAAAGAAAGGTTTTCAGGGATTGCCTAAGTGTGGATAGATTAGGAGACAGCTGGACAGATTGGGATAGGGAATTCCATAGGATGGGAGAAGCTAGGGAGAAGTCCTTGAGGCGAGCATGGGAGGAGGTGAAACAGGAACTAGAGAGCAGAAGGGAGGATTGAAGAGAGCGGTTTGGTTGATATTTTGAGACCAGGTTGGTGATGTAGCTGGGGGCAGAGTTGTCGATGGCTTTGTAAGTTGCTGTTAGTATGTAGAATTTTATTCGTTAGGTGAGTGGAAGCCAGTGGAGGGTTTGGCAGAGAGGCAGATTTATGTAAAACCTTTATCTAAAAAAAAAGAACAAAAAACGATGCTGTAACTGCTTATAAAGCATTAGCTGGAGTTTGGCTTTAATTTGTTAGTGTATCTAAATCTGCTAGTACATCATTTAAACACTCCCCTCCCCAGGACTGACAATGCTGCTGTCCAAAGATGCCCCTGTGCTCCTTCATTCACGGTGGGAACATGCTAATACGGGAGGTGTGCACTGGCCAGATCACCAGATGAAAAAGAGGGATAAATGCCTAAAAAGAGAAAACGAATTCAGCCACCACATCTAATGATTGATAAGCGGCAATATATTACATTTTGGTTTTGGGATTAATAACACTTTAATATAATCTGCATCTGTGCAACTTAGTTTGCAAACCAGACTTGATCTTTTTCAAATATCTTTATTTACTGAAGGACATCACCTCGGGTACATTCATAAGCACTTGGCTTTTTAAATATATTGTTCCGCACTGGCTGCATTCTTGAAATCATCTTGTGTGATACTTGATTTGACAGGTGCGTTTGTGTGATTCCCCTCTTACTCAGCGGTCCCCTCTATAGACCTCCCTCCCTTTTCCACTTATTTTATAGACCTCCCTCCCTTTTCCACTTATTTTATCAACCTCAATGTATTTGGTACATGGAGAAACCTACCAGCATCCAACATGGCTGCAAAGCCTCACCTGTGAAATCACATTTCATCCACTAGCAGTGAAGAACCTGCTGGTGATGTCACAATTTTCACATATGGTTATAGCCAGAACAACATAGCCAGTAGGTCAGTATGTTGGTATTCAGGTGGCATTAATCAAAGGGAATGTGGCTGGTAAGTCTCAAGCCAAAGCAAAAAAAAAGTGGTCACACAGGAGTATCTGTATCACTGCCATGTAAATTCATGGCAAGCTGGGTGTGTATGAGTAGTGGAACCTTTAGGAAGTCAAAGTTGGATTATTAGGCCCCATGTACACAGGACACTTCTGAACGATGGAAATTGACTGCTGGAAAACGTAGGTTAAAAAACATCTGTTTAGCTGCGTTTGCATAACACATTTATGTGCGTTTGCGTTTAGAAGCGTTTTTTAAAAATAAGCACAGGAGAACCTCCCAAATGCCCAGAATGCACTGAAAAGTGGTAAATTATTAACTATTTCAGAGAAATACAGAGAGTAGAAGCAGAGACAGCAGTATGTGTTGAGATAATTAGGTGGTGAGTTGCTCATTAACATTTCTTTTGTTTCCAAGTGTGGGAAAGGTGTCTGGTGGAGGGAGTCATTAAGGCCACCTGGCAGGGGGTCTTTATGAGGAATTTGAGGTGTGAATGGTGATTAACATATCTTCTGTTTCCAAGGGTGGGAGAGGTCTGAGGTGTGAATTGGTCATTACAATGTGTGAGGAGCTTGGTAGGAACATCCTGTGTTCAGTGTTTTGTCCATCTGAGTACCTTGAAAATGCTTTGTATACATTTTTCATGATGAAGAAAGGCTCTAGAAAGCATTGGGAACTGGAAGAGTTAAAAAAAAATTTTCAGACGCAAACTCATAACCGTGATTTGCCGCGTTTACAAGCGTTTTGCATTTGAAACACTGATAAAATCGACTGCTGAACACAAGTTTTCTGTGTTCAAAAAAACGACTGTAAACTCAAATGCCTGTAAACGAAGATGTGTACATGGACACATATGAAAACATTAGGGAGAGTTTAGGGGCTGCTGAAAAAAAAACACTGAACAGCTCCTGAACGTCAGTTTAGGAGTTGAAGTACATGAGCCCTTATTGTGTCATATCACATATTATGTAATAAAAAACATAACTGTATCAGAATTTTAATCTGCGCTTACCACTGCCTTCTGGGGCTAAATCTAGCATGGTTCCTTCTTCTGTCAAATTCTGAAGGATCAGATTCATGTCCCACTGCTCAGTCAACTGAAACAAGATGAATGGCATGAAATAATGACTAGGTGGCCCTATAGGGCCCAATAAAAGCATTTGACTTAACCTCCTTAGCGGTATTCCCGAGTGTAGCTCGGGGTAAAATTTTGATACTAAAAGCGGTAACCCCGAGCTACACTCGGGCTTACCCTGCGGAGTTGCTCAGGGGGTCCCTGCAGCACTTACCTTGTCCTTCGCTCCCGCAATGTGTCCCCCTGCAGCGTCCCCGGCCATCTCCTCCGGCCGATGCCGGCATCCGGCTTCTGTGTTCCGGTCCCTGTGACGTCGGGACGTACGGGCGCCGAAACCGGCGGGAAATTTGAAATTTTTAAAAAATGTCATTTTTGCTGTCATTGCTGTTTCAATGCATTTCACATACATTTTGTCCCGAGTGCTTTGTCCTGCGCCCTGCCTGCATTTTGACTGTTCTTTCTGCCTGGAAACTGAGAAACGTCCATGGCGTCCAAAAAGCGTCCCTTTACGTCAAAAGCGGTTTTAGACCGGCTAGAGAACAGCGATAGTAAATCAGAACCACTTGCAGAATTGAGTGATAATGATTCGTGGGGGAAATTCGTCATCAGACACTGAAAACGATTTTGCGACTTTGCTCAGCGATGTGCGAAGTTGCCTCTGTATTTCAAATTTCAGTGTTTTTGGTTTGATTATATTATTGAATCAAATTTATTATTATATTATTATTTTTTATGATTATTTTATTAAATCATAATTTATGATTTCGTGTTTCAAGTTTTATCATATCTGGAATGTTTACTAGACTCTTGTTCGGACAGATTTCAGTGAGTTATTCCTAAAAATTACAGCCTACAATAAAAAACTACATATTTCCATGCAAAAAAATGGTACCGCTTTCAGCACAAAAAAATCGGAAAGAATCATACCGCCGAGGAGGTTAAAGCACAGGAAGTGTCTACAACAGCGGCTGTGTGAAAGATGCACTGGGATGCAAAAAAGGAAGCCCATAGATGACTCTAATTTCTTTCCTACCATGGGGAGCCTTCCTGGCTGGCAGAACACAATGACTACGGCTAGAGAATATAGCTTCCGGCAGTAATCAAATGCAACAAATCAGACAGGCTGGTTGTACTCAAATCGATTCATGTTTTTGACACGCAAAGCTTTAGAAAGATAAAGGTTTGCTGCAGCAAATTGGACCATGCTTTATAGGAATTTGTTGCCTTCCTCTGGATCAAAAACTGTGGGTATTAAGCTCTGTATATAGAGATTTTCTATGTATTTATTTGTTCTATTGGTTGAACTAAATAATCTTTTTTTAACCTATGTAATGAATTAGGGTTTACATCTAGGCTAAATACAAAAAGTATATGGCAACCCCTTCAAATAATTGACTTCAGGTGTTTCCAGGGAAGCACTTAAAATACCCCTGCCCCACCATACACACATACTGTACATGCATTAGGCCCCTACGTATGAAAACGTCAACATGTTACATATTGCCGCGCACGCCAGAATGAGAGCAATAACTCTAGGCCCATTATTCTTGGTTATCGCTAAAATGATGACCTGTAGGGACCTTTACCTATGGATAATATAGAGTACTGCAGTTTGTCGCTGTTATGCTGGCGCACGCAATTTTAAGGTTCTCATGTTGGATCTAGTCACTCGGTGCAACCTCATCTTTTTTTTTTTTACTAAAAACTGGGTCATTTGTGTGCCCTAAAAGTAACAGTGTATTTTTTTTAAATTTTGCATTTCGTAAAATGTTGCGCTAATATTGTGTGACAAAAAAAAAACAAAAAAACCTAACACTATTTTATTCTTTAGGGCAGAGGTGTCAAACTGGCAACTGTTGCAAAACTACAAGTCCCATCATGCCTCTGCCTTTGGGAGTCATGCTTGTAACGGTTAATCTTGCAATGCCTCATGGGACTTGTAGTTTGGCAACAGCTGGAGGGCTGCCAGTTTGAACCCCTGTGAGTCTAGGGAGTCTGCTTTAAAAAAAAAATATATAGGGGTTTATTTACTAAAACTGGAGAGTGCAAAATCTGGTGCAGCTGTGCAGAGAAACCAATCAGCTTCCAGTTTTTTTTTTTTTTGTTTAATTGAACGTGCTAAATTTCGAAGCTGATTGGCTACCGTGCCCAGCTGCACCAGATTTTGTACTCTCCAGTTTCATTAAATCAACCCCTTAGTGTTTTGGGGGTTTTTATGTAATATTTAATGTTTAATGGCAGCACAGTGGCTAGGTGGTTAGCACTTCTGCCTGGCAGTACTAGAGTCGCTGGTTCGAATCCCAACCACGGCACCACCTGCCTGGAATTTGCATGTTCTCCCTGTGACTGCGTGGGTTTCCTCTGGTACTCCGGTTTCCTCCCACACTCCAAAGACATGCTGGGAAGTTAATTAGCTCCTCTCTAAATTGTCCCTAGTATGTGTATGTATGAATGTGAGTTAGGGACATTAGATTGTACGACCCTTGAGGGTTAGGGACTGATGTGAATGTACAATATATACGTAAAGCGCTGTGTAAATTGACAGCGATATATAAGTACCTGAAATAATAAAATGATCTTTTTAAACATGTGTGCAAAAAAAAAAAACTGCTCTGGCAGCAAAAGGGTTAAGCATTTTTATTTAGCCACGTGTTCACCTGGGTTTTAATGGACAACAAACGACAATGTTGTCGTACAAGTCATGTTGTGTATGAACAGTGTGGTGCACGTGCAGGGGCGGACTGACAACTCATGGGGCCCGCAATAGGGGATCATGGGGCCCCTGTGTCCTCACCCACACTCAAACCACACCCAAAAACCCTATAAAAAGGTACCAGGGGCATCTCATAGGGGCCCCCTAATGACCCCGGGCCCTCGGGCAGTGCCCGAGTTCCCAAATGGTCAGTCCGCCCCCGGTCTACCCCATTTCAAATGTTCTTAGATAGAACAGTCGCTTATATTAATGAAGGTTCCAACCACATAAAACAAAAAATATACAATCCGTAGCAAGGACACCAAATCTATTTGTGAAACTACAATATTCCAAACACACCTTCAGAGGCGGCAATGGGGAGTCATCATGTTTCACCGGTATATGCTCCTGGTTTAGCCAGCCACTCTTTGGTGTTCTCTGTTGGTCTTTGGCTTCTCTGTCTGTCTTTGTTCCATGGAAGTTGTTAAACACACCATCCCCAGCTTTATCTGGCATCAGGATGACAGGATCTGACACTGGTTGGTTTCAGCTGTTGCAAACAATTCAGCGAAACTACCTTCGCATTTTGGTATATTGTGATCATCATCTACAGTCACCTAGGATATAATAATAATCACTGATAAATTACCTGGATGTATGAATGATGTGCAGCTCTTTGATTACCATTAAAAATGCTAAATAAATCATCGCTAGATGAAAATGTTCTTAAATAATGCCAGTAGAGCTGTGGCAAAGCTAAGCCAGCTAAAAAATCTTCAGCATTCAACATAGTTCTGGATGTGTCAGCTGCCTGGTCCCCCTTTGTGGTCCTATCCACCCGTCCATGTCACTAATATGTCCTATAATGATGCCACAGCCAACAGAAGGAACCACGGTAGAAAGTGCAGACTGATGTTGGGGGCAGTGGAACATGTAAGTATTTATTATTATTATACAGTATTTATATAGCGCCAACAGTTTGCTCAGCGCTTGTACATTATAATGGGAGACAATACACAAGACAGTACAGTAACAATACAATACATGAGGGGATTGAGGGCCCTGCTCCTTGGTGCTTACAATCTAGGAGGGAGGGGATAGTGGTACAGGAGGAAATAGCTGTGGGGGATGGAGTGGTGGGAAGAGCGGAGGAGATGGGCAATTAGGTGAGGGCGGGGTAGGCTTCTCTGAAGAGATGGGTTTTCAGGGTGCGCCTAAAGGTGAGGAGGGTAGGTGACAGTCTGATGGATTGGGGTAGTGAGTTCCAGAGGATGGGGGAAGCCCTGGAGAAGTCCTGGAGACGGGCATGGGAGGAGGAGACCAGGAAACTAGAGAGAAGGAGGTCTTGTGAGGAGCAGAGAGTGCGTGTTGGGTGGTAGATGGATATCAGGTCGGTGATGTAGTTTGGGGCAGTGTTATGAACAGCTTTGTACGTCAATGTTAATAATTTGAATTTTATGCGTTGGGCAATCGGAAGCCAGTGGAGGGATTGGCAGAGGGGGGTGGCAGATACGGAGCGGTTAGTAAGGTGGATGGGTCTGGCCGCAGAATTCAGGATAGACTGAAGCGGGGATAGCCTGTGTTGAGGTAGGCCGGTGAGGAGGGAGTTACAGTAGTCAAGTCGTGATATAATAAGGGAGTGAATGAGTTGCTTTGTGGTTTCTGGAGTTAGGAACGTGCGTATTTTGGAGATGTATTAACTGTTCTTTACCAGGCAGGGCTTAGTTCATTTTTCTGGAAACATCAGGGTCAGAGTTTATTTAACCACTTGCCCTCCAGTGGATTTACCCCCCTTCCTGACCAGGCAATTTTTGCACTTAAAAAAAAAAAAAAAAAAGACTGACAACTTTGAAAAAAAACAAACAATATTTTTGACTTTTTGCTATCAAACATGCCCAGTAAAAAAAAAATTTAAAAATCAAACTTCGCCAAAATGTATTCTGCTACATATCTTTGCTAAAAAAAAATCCCAATACGTGTAAATTAATTGGTTTACGTGAAAGTTATAGCATTTACAAATATAGC